GGAGACATCAAGGCAAGTGGTCGGGTCCCCTCAGGGCAAACCCCCTTCTAAGACTAAAACTCAATGAGAATACATGCTCTGATTGGTGACCATGTTGGTCACCGATAAAGGGAAGTGAGGGAAAAACAGCAATGAAGCTGCGAGCTAAGCCCGACAATGTTCAATAGACTCCTGTTAACCCGGGTGGAGATCTGGTTGACCAGCAATGTGGTAAGACCTGGGGACTCTTGGAACACAAAGGACTAGAGTGGAAAGTGAAGCATCCAGCTGATAAGAGAGTACATCTGCATAAGAATACCCACACTTGCAGATAATACCCACTTGACCTGGCTTCTATGACTGAATGATCAGAGCTCAACCCAAAGAAGAAAAAAGAGGAAAAAAAGAGTAATCTTATACAATTTGATGAACTTGATCTATACCTATTGATGCAGTAGCTCAAAAGAGGGAACAAATCTTTACAACGAGGATCATTCCCACCCCCTCCATACCCAGAGCAGACAAAGATAGGCAACTTGGAGATTGGCTACCGAAAATGGGGGGTGGGGGGCTACAAAGGCAAGAAGTGACTGGCTTACAAGCTTTTAAGAGGGAGCCTAGATCCAGAGGGCGCAGAGGAAGTTAGAATCTCCACTAAGTAGTATCCAATCTGTCTGGTAGGGGCTGATGAAAGGAGATGGGGATAGGTCTCTTGTGGTACAATAGTGAATAATTGTTATCAGGACTGACTGGGAGGGTTGGAAATGTAAAGGTAGATGTTATGTAGCAAAAGGAGGGAAGTGATGGACTTTGCAGTCCAGGAGTCCTAGGACCATCAAGGGAGAAGAGCGGAGTGTGAGACCCTACCCAGAGAAACAGTGGCACCAGAGATGGAGGCAGAGACGATGACGTGGAGAAATGGAGCGGCTGGGGAGTCTAGACCCAGAGAGGGAGATGGGCTGTGTGCTGACAACCGGGGGTCAGGCTTGCAGGGTATACCCTTTGGTTGGTTGATGATGCATGGAGGGGGTTGTAACCATGGCAATGAAATTATATACAATAGGATGAATGTAAAGCTAATGTTCTCCCATGTAAGCTCTCACGTAACTCACAATAAAACATTAAACAAAAGAGAGAGAGAAAGAGATGAGGATAAGAGTCTTTGGATTCAATAGTGGGTAATTGTTATCATGACTAATTGTGACTGTCACAGTTGTAAAAGTAGATGTTTTGTAACAAAAATGGGGGAGTAGTTAATCTTATAGTCCAGAAACAGAGGAGCCTAGGACCATTAAGGGAGAAGAGCACAATCACAATGCGGGACTTTATCCAGAGAAGCAGCGACACCAGAGATGGAGGCAGAGATGGGGACATGGAGAGGGGGAGCGGCTGAGGACTTGATTCATGGGAAGAAAGGGATTAAGAGATAGTAGCCAGGAGGATATGCCCTTTGGTGGTATAAATTATTATATATGCCTGAGTGTTTAAAAAAAAAACAAAAAGAGCTGAAGTGAATAGAGAGAAATACTGTTAACTGATGATACATGGAGGGGATTATAATCACTGCAATGAAACAAGTTGTATGATTTGTTGAGTGTAAAACTGATGATCTACCCTGTAAAGTTTCAGTCAATCCACAATAAAAACTTAAAACTAAAAAAAAAAAAAGGAGACTATAAAGGCATGAGGAGTCCTGGTGTAGTGCTATGGGTTAATGCTCTGGACTGCAAGGTTGATTTGAATCACATTGTTGGCAGTTCAAGCTCACCAGCCGCTTCTCAGAAACCCTATACAGGGTCACTATGGGTTGGAACCAATGCAACAGCACTTAACAACAACAAAGGCACAAAGTACCTGGCTTACAAGCTTTCATGAAATGTGTTTAGTTTTAGAATAATGAGGGTAAGGTAGAATCCCCACTGAATAGTTTTCCTCTTTTCCAGATGGATCTGGTGAAAGAGGATGGGGGACGGGGGACGATATCATTTTATGACTCAATCGTGAGCAATTGTTAGCAGGATTAATGGTGATTGTCACAACTATAAGTGTAGATGTGTAACTAAAAGAGGGTGTAGTTAATCTTTCATTTCAGAAACAGAGGGTGCCAGGACCATCAAGAAGGAAGTGTTTGAGTGGAACATGAAATCCTACCTAGAAAAAACCGTGACAGCAGAGACAGTGGCAGAGACGATGGTATGGAGACAGAGAACAGCTGTGGACTCTAGGCCCATGGGTGCGAAAGGCTGTGGACCTGCAGGAGGAGGCTGGCTTGCAGAATGTGCTCTTAGGACATATAAATGAATATATATTTTTGTTTTGTATGTGTACATCAAATATTTTTGCTTTGTTCATTTGTGAAATATAAGATGGAAAAGGGAAGCTACGGGGAGGAAGTGGGGTAACTGTTGTTGCTGGGAGGGGATTGTGATCATTGAGATGAAACAAAAGTGTATTATTTGTTGAATGTTTGAAACAAAAAGTGAATCATTTGTTGAAGCTGATGATTTTGTCTTTTAACCTTAACTCAATTCACAATAAAAAGTAAATAAATATATATTAGAGATTCTTGTTTTATTACCCAGTAGAAGGATATTGACCAGTTTGTATTTGATTTATAATCTTATTCCAGAACCCTGCACCACTGACCCTGAGGGGGCTTCAAAAAGTGAATAGAAAATGGAATGAAAAGATCATTGAATTTTTCCATGAACTTTTTGACGACCCTTTGTGTATGTTTCTAGTGTCTTCTTTTGAATTAGCTTTGTCGTCTTGCTGAACGGTTCTCTAGTCAACGAGTTAAATAAATCTTTAATATGTGTTTACACATCACAGGAAAAAGAAGGAAATGCAAGCGGTACTTTAGAGTAATTTCACTGATACCTCCTCCCACTGCCACTGAGTTCATTCTAACTCATAATAACCCTATACAAGGTTCCCGAGACTATAAATTTTTGGTTAGCAGCCCAATGCCTAACCCACAGCATAACCAGGACTCCTTAAGTTGAAACATTTCAACAGTAGGAAAATTCATGTCCGTTTACTCAATTATGCTATATTCTAGATTTTGTTGTTAAATGCCGTCGAGTCGGTTCCGACCCATAGCGAGGGTTTCCAAGGAGCGACTGGTGAGCTTGAACCACCAACCTTACAGTTCAAACTGACTTTGCAGTCTAGCGCATTAACCCACAGCGCCACAGTCAAGAAAATCCTTTTGTAATTTCTACTTTCCCTTTCTGATAGCGCTATATTTTACAAATATTACATATTTTTCTGATAAATATCGTGTTCGGTTATGCTACTGAATTGAGACTACATTAGTCTATCCGTAGCTTTGACTTTTCCAACTGAGTTTGAAAGATTATGTCTATAAGACTGGGAAGGGTACGTTCCAATCCGTCTGCTTCTACACTCACTCCCACCCAATACCCTTCCCAGGAGTTGCTAGGGCAGATACAGCTCCAAAACTTCAGATCCCGCTTGCCTCCGGAAATCACTTCCGCGAGATGAGTCATTTGGATAGTCCAGTGCTGTCGTCCACTTTCACCCAGTTCGTGGTTTGGAGTCTAGTTGTCTATCCCAGTAGCTGTCTATCCTGGCTTCTGTTGTTGTTGTTAAGTGCCATCGAGTCGGTTCCGACCCATAGCGACCCTGTACAGGGTTTCCGAGGGTATAAATCTTTATGGGAATAGAAAGCCTCATCTTTCTCCCACGGAGCGGCTGGTAGTTTCGAACCGCTGACCTTAAGGTTCGCAGCCGATTCGTAACCACACTGACCAGTTAAAGCAGGACTACTGGAGGACCACGAGAAAAGTAAAACCTTCCTCCGCTCATTGTAATGCTCAAGCCGGGGACTCAGACGCACTGAGCACGCGACGATAGGCGGCTGCCCCTCCTCTAAATAATGACTTAAGTCTTCAAGCCTTTCCCTCTGGGACCCCAGTGTGACTAAGGGCTAGCTCACAAACGCGCGAGCCCCAGGCCTGGAGATGGATGCTCCGCGCGCGCCCCCTGTCGGTCCCGCGAACGGAGAGCGCCACCGCCAAGAGGCCCAGGTGATGCGAAGCGCAGACTTCAGGGCCTTCTGAGCCAAGACCAGTTCTCTCATTCTCCCACTTCTGCCTTCTGGTGGTGCAGTGGTTAAAGCACTCCGCCGCCAACCCAAAAGTCCCTTGAAGGAGAAGAATGTGGTAGTCAGCTTCCCTAAGGATTGTTGTTGTTGGTAAGTGCCATAGCGACCCTGTATAGGGTTTCCGAGGAGCAGCTGGTGAGCTTGAACCGCAGACTTTGCAGTTCAAACAGCTTTGCAGTCTGGCGCATTAACCCACAGAGCCACACCAGGACTCCATACATTATGACAGCTAGTACTATGTTGAGATATTCTGTATGACTCAGTACATGTTCAATGTTTATAAATGTTCTGAAATTATGCAATTCTACAAAGTTCACATGTTAAAGGCATTCTTTAGATGTGGCACGTTCATGCCACTGTTTTCCAAAAATGTGCTGAGTTAGCTCATTTACTGATGTCTCATCTCCAAGTTTCTTTGATCTTTGTTATTCTTAGTCATCATTTTAATGTGATCCCAAGTGTATAGGCAATGCTGTTGTTAAGTGCCATTGAGTCAGTTCCAACTCATTGCAACCCTGGATAGTGTTTCCGAGGAGCAGCTTGTGAGTTTGAACTGCCGACCTTGTAGTCCAAGGCATTACCCTGCTGTACCACACCAGGACTACAGGCATAAGTGCATGCAAGCAATAAACTATTTGTAACTAGGAATCAAATATAAAATTAGTTGGCTAATTTTAAATGTATCATTTATTAAATTATTCCTTACACAGTAAGATATTACCTCATATACTATAGTCTATATATTAACATTCATTTTAAATTTTGACATCTTCATTATATCTCCTCTTTTAATGTCAACATTTTTTATAGGTTCAGAGGGGGAAAAAATTAACCACGAAAATTATAATCAAGTTGGAGTGTTGTACTTGTATAAAACATATCATAAAATCAGATGTCTGAAAACGAGGATACTTCAGAAGAGTTAGAGGATGTCCCTGGTCAATTTAGAAAAGAATCCAGATCACAGCCAAGGGAAGAGCTTGAATTTACCAAAGAAGCATCACATTCATCAAATGAAACTTCTGAGAATATGGATGAAGAGCCTTCCAGCCAGATTTTTGAAACACCTCCTAGAAAGGATACACTAGAGTCCACAACTTCCTTTGAAAGTATATCTAAGATAAATGAAGAACTAAAGGAAAAACCTCAATTTTCTGAAACAAGTACTAGAGATGCCAGCTCAGAGTCAAAACCAGAAAATATACCAAGTCCATCACCATCAATAACTGAAACGACTGAAGAATCTCTGACTTTCTATAATTACCTAGCTCTTAACACATTAGTAGAAAGTAGTACAAATGCCCCCAAAGAAAATCAGAAAGAACTCGACTTAAGTTCAGATGACTTTGTAGTTAACCTTGAGGCCAGAGGTTTACAAGAATTCCCTAAGGACATTGTAAAAGTCAAATATGTGAAATATCTATATTTAGACAAGAACAAAATAAAAACGTTTCAAGTAGACTCAAGTGATCTGTTAGGACTTGAAATTTTATCCTTGAAAGAAAATGAAATAGTATCACTTCCTTCTGAAATTTATTTACTTCCTAATTTAAGGATATTAAATGTCAGTCATAACCAAATATCACATATCCCTAAAGAAATATCACATCTTGGGAATATCAGGCAACTCTCTTCTAATAACAATTATATTGAGAGTTTTCCTCCTGGCTTAGAAAATCTTGGAAACTTGGAAATTTTCAATTTGGCTAAAAATAAGTTAAGACACATACCAGAAACTCTATCTAATTTGAAAAATTTGAGGATTCTCAATCTGGAATGTAATCAGTTAACAATATTTCCTAAAGCACTATGCTTTCTTCCAAAGTTAATTTCACTAAACCTTAATGGAAACCTGATAAGCAGTTTGCCAAAAGAAATTAGGGAGCTTAAGAGTTTAGAAAGTCTTTCACTTGATCACAATAAACTTACATTTTTGGCTGTGGAAATGTTTCTATTGTTCAAAATAAAAGAACTGCAATTGGCTGACAATAAATTGGAAGTTATTTCACACAAAGTTGGGAATTTCAAGGAACTTAGGATTCTCACATTGGATAAAAATTTATTGACAGATATATCAGAGAATATTTCCCACTGTGTAATGTTGGAATGTCTTAGTCTTAATGATAATAAATTAACAGAACTTCCCAAGAATATTCACAAGCTTAAAAATTTAAGGAAACTCCATGTAAACAGAAATAGTATGCTGGAAATAACTGAAGATATCGCACATCTTAATAATATATACAGCCTCCAATTTTCAGGAAATAAAATCACAAATGTTCCCATTGAAATAAAAAACTGCAGAAAAATAACTAAAGTGAATTTGAACTATAACAAAATAAGCTATTTTCCTGTGGGACTTTGTGCTTTGGATTCTCTTTATCATTTGTATTTTAATGGCAATTATATTTCAGAAATACCTGTGGATATGTCTTTCAGTAAACAATTGCTTCACTTAGAGTTTAATGAAAACAGACTTCTCATATTTTCTGAGCACCTTTGTTCTCTTGTTAGTCTTGAGTATCTGGATCTTGGTAGAAATCAAATAAAGAAAATTCCATCACTTATTTCCAATATGACATCACTCCATGTGCTTATTTTATGCCACAATAAATTTGAAACTTTCCCTATAGAATTGTGTGCTTTAGAAAATTTGCAAGAGCTTGACCTTTCAGAAAATCAAATACAGATAATTCCTTCAGAGATCTGTAATTTAAAGAGAATCCAGAAATTAAACTTCTCAAGCAATCAATTTGCATATTTTCCTATTGAATTATGTCACCTTCAATCCCTGGAAGGGCTGAATATAAGTCAGGAGAAAGGGAGGAAGGTAAGAGACTATCATGTTGGGCTTTTAGAGGAAGGAGGGATTGGAAGGGATTTCAGTCTAAGCTGTAAAGTGTGTGTGTGTGTTTTAATTTATCTGGAATATTTTATTTTTTAAAGGATAGACTTATTTTCTAAATATGGGTTACAAATACACTTCTCAACACAAAAGTTTTATAGGAAAATGTTTCACTAAATGAAATGTCAAGTGATTAAAGCTACCGATTTTGTCATTAAAAAAAATTTCCAGTTTAATTTTTTAAGGAGTTTTAAAGTTATAAATTTGGAAAATAGAGGTTAAAAAACAAAACAAACAAAAAAACACGTACCACAAGCATACCACGGTAATATAGCAATTGTTTGTATGCTGGTAAAACTTCTTCCTAGTCTTTTTTTTGTCTGGTATACAAACTGGGCTGCTAACCACAAGGTCAGTCAGTGGTTTGAGTCCAAAAGCCACAGGAGAACTAAATCTTCTAGTTCATTCATAGAATTGCCTTTATTTCAAAAAAGTTCACTTGTAATGAACTTATTTTCTCAGATTACACATAGTTCTTCACTTTATCAAACTGTTTTAATCCCTGCTATTTTGTAACCCTTTTTGTAGTGGGGACTTTTATTTGAAACCATATTGCCAAACAATGTGATTCCTTTTAAAGGGCTTCATTGAGCATTTACTCAAAGTGCATCCTGTTTAGGAGCACATAACAAAAAGTTTAAAACATGAAACATGTCATTTAAAAATCCAAGGAAACCATAAGGAACTAATAAATACCAATGTTGTTGTTGTGAAGTGCTGTTGAGTGGGTTCCAATCCATAGCAACTCTGTATAGGGTTTCCAAGGAGTGACTGTCCCTAATTAATGAGTGTAGGAATGAATAAAAGGATCAAATGTGGGACAGAACAGTTTGGAAAGAATTCAGGGAGGAGATGAAACCAAAACATGGTCAGATTTGGAGAGAGAAGCAGCAGGAGGTAAGGAAGAAGGAATGAGGTGGTGGTAGTGAACACTAGTGCTGGGCAATTGAAGAAAGTAGATGAGCAGAAGATGGGTTGAATTGGTAGCAACTGGGCAGTTACTTGGATGTTATAATTGTATAACATTATATAAAACTGTATAACACAGATTTTAGAGAGGAGGGGCGTGACTAAGAAACTGGCACAGTGAAAATATCTCCTTTCTAAGATAAAAACATTTTAGTCCTCTAAACCATTACTAAAAGTATAATTATTTAATCTTTATTACAGTTAACAGGACTTCCAGAAGAACTGCCTAGGATGATTCAACTTAAAGAACTTGATGTCTCAAATAATGCAATCAGAGAGATTCCCAGGAATATAGGGGAATTGAGAAGTTTGGTTAGCTTAAATGCATGCAACAATCAAATAAGTTATCTGCCACCATCTTTTTTACTTTTAAGTGACCTCCAGAAACTGAACTTGAGTGGTGAGTGTGGAACATAATAAGCATAATCAATAAGCAGTGTATTAGTGTTCAGATGGTGAATTTTGCTGGTAAGACACCGAATAGCACTGAACACAATGCATCAGTACCCATCTGACAATATCTACAGTACAGAAAATGAGAACAAAGCGTAAGCACAGTTCCTGCCCTGAAAGAGTACATAATCCAACTGGGGAGACCAACACATTTTCATTTCCATCTTCTTCACCTAAATCTGGAGTCCTGGTGTAGTGGTGAATACGCTGGATTGCACGGTCAGTTTGAAATGCAAGGTTGACAGTTCAAGCTCACCAGCTCCTCCTTGGAAACTCTATACAGGGTTGCTATGGGTCGGAACTGACTCAATGGCACTTAACAACAACAACCTATATCTAGGCATTCTGTGATTCTTCCCTTTCTGAAGCTGACCTCACCCTTCTCTCTGTACAAACCTAGGGAACTTCAAGTCTGCATTTTCTCTGCGTTCCTTTCTTTGCTTGTTCCCGTAATCCCACTTCCATACACTACAATAAGCCAATACTGTATACGTAGTATTTTTTAAAGTAAGCCACCCACTCAAGCGATATCAGAAAAGATTTCCCAAAGCACAACTAGATTGCTATTTTTCTTAATATTTTGCTGTGAAATATTTCTAAATTACAGGAAAACCAGAAAATAACAAATGTATCTACTTCCAGATATAAATAGTCTTAGCATTTTGATAGCTACTTGAGATATTTCTATAAGAAATAATACAGAGTTGAAATTTCTTTTGGACCACGTTTTAGCCCAAACTAGAAGTAATCACTAAACTGGAATTGTATATATTTTTTCCATTCATATTTTACACATCATACATGAGTGTATACATAAAAATGCAGTATTATTTTGAGTTTTTAAAGTTTTGTGAAATTGTATCATACTCTGAATCATTCTATAATTAGTGTTTTTACTTGTTATATTTGAAGATTAATCCACAATAATATATACATGGACCTAGTTTAGTTTAAATGCTATATAATATTCAATTATATGGTTAAAAATTAATTCATTATCCTGTTGATGGACAATTACACCTACTCCTCACTTATCAGCCATCTCACTATGTGACATTTTGCATTTATGACAATAGTAAAAAAAATCTACTATCTGACTATTCTGTGCATTAACAACATACATCTGGCAGTAATGAACACCACCATGCAAGGTGAGAGTAAAGCTGGCTGTAATAAGGGTCAACTTAGCTGGACCATCATTCTCAAAGTGAAATATAAATAAAAAGTATAATTGGAAAAGGAGGAAAAACTGTCTCTGATAGCAGACAGATTGTCTAGGTAGAAAACATTTTGCTGAATGAGTGCCAGAACTGTAGCCTCAAGTGTACCTGAAAATAAAAGCAGAATTTTGCATGGAAATTTTCAGCAAATGGAATCAAGATCCTAAAACATTTTTTGGAAGAATTGTATTAGGATGTGAAGCATGGCTTTACCAGTATGATTCTGAAAACAAAACACAATCAAATAAATGGCTACCCAGAGATGAAAGTGTTCCAGTCAAATCAAAAGTGGATTGGTCAAGAGTAAAAGCTCATGGCAGTAGTTAAGGGGAATGCTCAAGGCATTTTGTTTATTGACTTTCTAGGGAGGCAAAGAACAGTAACATTTGCTTATTAAGAAAGAGTGTTGTGAGAAAGTTAGCCAGTGTTAGCAGAGAAATGCCTGAAAAAGCTTTACCAGAGAGCCCATCTCTGGCGCATTTCTCTCACCAAACCAGGGCAATTGTGTTTTGATGGGACATCACTAAGCAGCCACTGTACAGCCTTGGTTTGGCTCCTTCTAATTTCTTTTCATTTCCTAATCTTAACAAATCTTTTTAGAGCATTCTTTTTTTTTTTTCGGTTAATAATGTAAAAAAGACTGCATTGATACACTTAAGTTCCCAGGATCCTCAGTTCTTTAGGGATGGACTAAATGGCTAGTATCCTCACTTATAAAAGTGCCTTGAACTTGATGGAGTTTATGTTGAGAAATGAAGTTTGTATTTATTTATTTATTTTAATTCTTAATTCATTTTTTTCCATGAACTTTTTGAAGTCCCCTCATGTATGGTCAACTGTTTTGTTTGTTCTTAAACCAATGTTCCAAGGCAATTCAATGGAGAATGAATACTTTTTCCACAAATGGTGGTGGAAAAACTGATCTCCACATATTTTTTAATAAGGGGACAAAGAACTTGTATCCATATGGCACATCATATAAAAATTCAGCGCAAATGAATCCCTGACCAAAGGTAAAACATATGTATATATAAACTTGAGAAAAGCATAGAAGAAAATCTATGTAATCCATGGTCTAGAAACAAAAAATGATTCAAAAATCGGATTTCATCAAAATTAGAAACTTCTATTCGGGCTGCGAACCTGAAGGTCAGCAGTTTGAAACTACCAGCCGCTCCGCGGGAGAAAGATGAGGGTTTTTTTTTTTTTACAGCCTTGGAAACCCTGTACAGGGTCGCTATGGGTCGGAACCGACTCAACGGCACTTAACAACAACAACAATTCTTCAAAAGGCGCTGTTAAGAGAGTGAAAAGAAAAGCCATAGAGTGGGAGAAAATATTTGCTGAAAATAAAACAAAAAAACCCTAACTTTTCAAAGTCCAATAGCAGATATATTTAGCCACTGCAAGACATAGTGCAGCAGTCGTACCAGCATCTCCTGAGACTGCGTCATGTCGTAACCCTGACCCAAAGAGTATCCTTTCTTTTACCCCACTAGTTGGAGTAAGTTACTGAGCGTTCGGCCAACCACAGTGCAAAGGTCTCTGCCAGATGGGGTGAGAGAAGCGCTAGGGTGCATCACTGGAGTAGAGGGCAGCCACGCCTGCATCCCCTCTCTGAGCCTCAACCATACGGAGGCGCCAAAACTAGCAAGTTCAAAAGAAAACTAGGAATTGGGAGAGAAGAAACCTGGCTACCTAGAGTAAAGAAAGCGAGAAATACTACAGTAACGGTTGAAGGAGCTGCAAAGTGGGAATGACGCCTCTTTATTGCTGGGTCCAGGTCTGTATGATCCTGGGGAATGTGCTTTGGAGGAAAGGGTTGATTCCGACTCATAGTGACCCTGTGTAGGGGTTGCAAGAACGGCTGTGGGTTTGAAGTGCTGGCCTTTCAGTTACCAGTCCTGTAGTTAGCCTACTGCACCACACCAGGGGAGGCACAACAGAAGAGGTAAATTTCAGAGTGCTGAAGAAAGGGAACTTTCTCCTTTAAGAGTCCCATTCGTTTATTTCTGCCCCTCAGAAGTATCAGATTGGACGAGCAGGGCAATGTTTTATTGGAATTATAATGTTGGAATTGTAAACCTGGAAGAATTTTAACCGAATTTGTGATTATTATTCCTTTGCCCTCTTCCCCCTACCATCATCCAATCATCTTTTTTCCCTCCTCCACCTCCCATAAAGAGGTACCTAATGCCAACTAGAAACTAAAGAATTAAAATTCTTCATTTTTATTTCTTTAAGAGAGAATGAGTAGCTGCTGGTAAGAAGCTTCCTTTTAAGACTAGCTGTGTTTCTTATAAGCCTTGGACTTGTCCCAGGCATTAAACCGAAGGGTATTTTAGGCATATCCTTAAAATTCCATACTCTGACAGGTCCATCTAAGCAGTTTTAAATTAGAACGAGAAACTCATCAACCCTAGGCTTGATATAGAAAAATGTTGATTGGAATAATAAACAGAAACTTCCATTTATTTTGAATTAGAGACTCTTCCCTCATTCTCCTTTGTTCTGCACCAAAAATGTGCATTATTTCTATTTCTCTCAAAAATGTTACTGCTAAGCGATTTGATTTGGAGCATAGTCTTTAAAGATAAATTTACAAAGCAGAAGTAAGTAGATTACGTTGTTGTTGTTAAGTGCCATGGAGTCAGTACTGATTCATAATAACCCTGTATAGGGTTTCCAAGGAGCAGCTGGTGAGCTTGAACCACCGACCTTGCGGTTCAAACCTACCTTGCAGTCCAGTGCGTTAACCCACAGCACCATACTAGAACTCCAGATTATATGTTATAGTATATAATATTGTAGTTTATGTTGATTAGTGGCAGTAGTGTTTTATTATAAATACTTCTGAGAACCAAGATTATGCCATCATTTCTGTTTTGAGGGAAAGAAGGAATCAGTATTGCAGAACAGTATGTTAGACTGCCAGATCTGTGTGAGACCTAATGGAGAGAGATCAGTCAAAGATATATGTTTATTTGGCTGATCAATAAAGATGTTTCAGCTGAAGGAAATGTTAGTACTAATCTGGGTGAATTTGAATAAGGTATTTTTTGTTGAAGATAGTAATTAATAGATATATAAGCGAAAGTAGAAACAGGGAACATAGTTATGCTGGGAGGAGTGATACTTTTAACAACAAAAGAAATGTTACTTGAACATAGAGGTTGATGTAGCTGCAAAACATTAATACAGAATTGAAGTTATTTGCAGAGAAGTAGCTAAATTTATAAACTTAAATGTAGAATCTGCAGGGCAGCCATTAGGTATTGATGTGTTTTCTTCAGGATATATATTTTAGAAGTGTGTTCAGTGACTTTTTAGGATTATTTACCACTGATTTTAAATAACTACTGATACACATTTAACTAGCATCAAATTAATCAACATTTCAAACTGGAGATGCTCATTATGAGTATTGTTGTGAAGTGCCTTCGGTGGGTTCATATAACCCTGTATGAGGAGCAGCTGATGGGTTTTGGCCAAGAACATTTTGGTTAGCAGTCCAGTGCTTACCTTGCAGCACATATAACTAAATTAGTTTTGACTATTTTTTACCACTATGTTTATCTTAGCCATGAAATGTTTTTACAAAGTACTCATTAAGCTTTTTCAGTAAAACCTTTATAACTGTAGAAAATCAACAACGAAGATAACAAAAACAAAAAAGTAAAACAATTCAAAAAAAAATTTGAAGAAATTTTGAATAGATACATTACAAAAAATGTAAATTGATGGCAAATTAGCATAAGAAAATATAAATATATTCTGTATCACTAGTCATTGGTGGTGGTGGTTATGTGTCGTAGAGTCGGTTCCGACTCATAGCGACCCTGTATAGGGTTTCTGAGGCTGTAAATCTTTACAGGAGCAGAAAGCCTCATCTTTCTCCTATGGAACAGCTGGTAGTTTCAAACTGCTGACCTTGTGTTTGCAGCCCAATTTGTAACCACTAAGCTACCAGAGCTCCCAAAGAAAGATTGCCAAAAACTGGAAAAACCCCAAATATACTTAACCTAGAGAATGAATAAGCTATGGTATAGGTCTATAATAGAATGTTTCTCACTAGTACAAAGAAGCAAATGCTTTCTACAACACCATGGATGAATCTCAGATGCTTTATGTGAAGTAAAAGAAGCTAGACCCCAAAGACTGTACTGTGTAATTCCACTTATGTGACATTCTGGCAAAAGTAAAACTATAATGGTAGAAAATAGGTTAGTTGTTCATAGGAACTGAGATGGGGGGCAGTTCACTACAAAGGGGAACCAGAGAATTCTTGCGAGGTGATGGAATTTTTATATTTTGAGTTTTGATGGTAATAGCATGACTATGTGTTTATCAAAACTTGAGAAGAGAGCACTAAAAAGGATGAATTTTACCATATACAAACTATACCTTTAAGATAACAGTTTTGAGGAAAAAGGGACATTAAAATATATATATATAGGAAAATAGACAAATCATACCAGTTCCAAAAATGTCACTTAAGTATGTGAAGAAATTAAAGATCTTTACAAAATGCTGCAGTCTGACTTGAACAAGCACACAATCAAGATGCATTAATACTACTGGGGATTGAAATGCAGAAGTTGGCAATGGAGAAAGGTCAGTTGGAAAATATGGCCATGGTGATTAAAAATGACACTGGAAATCACATAAAAGAATTCTTCAAGACAACAACTTTCTCATTGGAAAGTTACTCAACAATACAATGACTATATACTTGGACCTCACCAGATGGAATATGCAGGAATCAAACTGACCACATCTGTGGAAAAGATAATAGATAAACTCAATATCGTAGAGTCAGGACACCGTCAGGGTCCAACTGAAGAACACACAGTTAATTGCTCTGATGCATACAAATTGAAGCTGAAGATAATTGAAACAAGTTTACATGAGCCAATGTACCATCTTGAATGTATCCCACCTGAATTTTAGAGAGCATCTCAAGAATAGATTAGATGTAAATACTTCAGAAGAATGAAGACCAGAAGAATTGTGGTACAATATTAAGGACATCATACATGAAGAAAGCAAAAGACCATTAAAAAGACAGGAAAAAAGAGAAAAGGAAGAGACTCTGAAACTTGCTCTTGTACCCAAATAGCTAAAGCAATTGGAAGAAATGAAGTAAAAGAGCTGAACAGAAGATTTCAAAGGGTAGTCTGAGAAGGCAATGGTTAAATATCATAATGAAATGTGTCAAAGCCTGTAGTTAAAAAACCACACTTTGCATTTCTCATGCTGAAAGAACTGAAGAAAAATGTCTGAATATAAAGTCTATTTAAAAATTACTTCCATGCCTATTTTGTAGAATCCTTTGATGTATGTATAAGAGGAAAATCTCCTGTTCATGTTGCTGTTGTTGTTAAGTGCTGTCGAGTCAATTCCGACCCATAGTGACCCTATATAGGGTTTCCGAGAGGAGTAGCCGGTGAGCTTGAACTGCCAACCTTGCAGTTTAAACGGCTATGCAGTCTGGCACATTAATCCACAGAGCCACACCAGGACTCCCTTTAAACAGAAAACAACCACAACTCTATTTCTCTATCTCCTCCTTTTTGTACAGCAAAAAGAACTTGGGATTCTCTTGTACTTTCCAATAAGACATAGTTGTTGTTAGGTACCATCGAGTCAGTACTGACTCACAGCGACCCTACGCATAACAGAACAAAACACTACCTGGTCCTGAGTCAACCTCACAATAGTTGTTACATTTAAGCCCATTTCTGCCGCCACTGTGCCAATCCATCTTGTTGGGTGTCTTCCTTTTTTACCTCCGACCTTCCACTTTACCAAACATGATATCCTTTTCCAGGGACTGGTCCCTCCAGATAATATATCTGGAATATGAGAGATGAAGTTTAGCCATCTTGGCTTCCAAGGAGCATTCTAGCTGTACTTCCTCCAACACAGATTGGTTTGTTCTTTTAGCAGTCCATAGTACTTTTTATATTTTCCTCTAACACCATAACCTAAATGCATCAATTCTTCTACGGTCTTCTTTATTCACTGCCCAACTTTCACATGCATATGAAGTTATTGAAAATACTATGGCTTGGGTCAGGTGCACCTTAGTCCTTAAACTGACATCTTTGCTCTTGAACACTTTAAAGAGGTCTTGTGCAACAGATTTGCCTAATGTATACGTGGTTTGATTTCTTGACTGCTGCTTCCATGAGTATTTATGGTTGATTTGAGCAAAATGAAGTCTTTGACAACTTCGATCTTTTCTCCATTTAATGGATGCTGTTTATTGGTCCATTGGTGAGGATTTTTACTTTCTTTACAGTGAGGTGCAACCCATACTGAAGGCTGTGGTTTCTAATCTTCAAGTCCTCTTTGCCTTCAGCAAGCAAGGTTGTATCATTTCCATATTGTAGATTGTTAATGAATCTTCCTCCAATTCTGATACCACATTTTCCTCATATAATCCAGCTTCTCGGATTATATGTTCAGCATAAAGATTGAATAAATAGATGCCTCATTAATAGTTATATTTGTTGCTCTAGTTTTCTTTTGTAAAAAGGTATAATTCAACTACATATATTTTTTCTACTAGGAAATAATCTGACAGCTCTGCCTATTGGTATCGATAATCTTTTTGCACTGAAGGACATAAATTTTGATGACAACCCCTTGCTGAGACCTCCAATGGAAATCTGTAAAGGAAAACAGCTGTATACCATTGTACGCTATCTACAGAGGTCCGAAGAGAGAGATGGTAGGTGATGAATGAGTGTTGACGTCTCACACATCATTTCTAGTATTATCTGTATACAAAAGATAATTTGTTTTAATGAGAAGCTTTCACCCTGGAAGAGATACATACTATTTATAATTTTCCCTTTCCTGAAGGTTAGAAGTTTATTTTGAAAATTCAGATTATTTAATGTGGGACCATACAAACTGGGCCATTGAAAACATGCAAGTCTGAATGAAGGCGTGAGCTACTTCCTACCCATTGGTTCAGTGGTCTTCGATGGGTTTTTCATCATGGTTAGGGCCATTGTCAGAGAATTCACACACTGATTATTCTGATTGTCTTACTATATGTGGTTGTTCTACAAAACATACGTGTATTTAACCTTGAATAAAATCCACATATACCAGTTAGTTTTTGATACACTATGACCACTTGTCTGAAACCTTTGGATAGCTTCATCCCTCTGTCCTTGATCATTCTTAGAGCAGGGCCGCTTCTTTAGATGTCTGTTCATTGAGTTCATTAGATACTGGTTTTTCCAAGTCTTTCAAAGTGAAACTTCACAGTCCAATTCTTTTTTATGAATTGCATTGGAAACAACTCAATGGCACACAACCACCACATTTTTTACGGTTGTTGTTAAATGCCGTAGAGTTGGTGGTGACCCATAGCGACCCCATATAGGGTTTCCGAGAAGCAGCTGGTAAGCTTGAACCTCGAACCTTGTGGTTCAAACTGACTTTGCACTCCAGTCCGTTAACCCACCGTGCTACACCAGGACTCCATATGTTTGACAGAAGCACAAAAAATGTAATCTGTAAACTAAGAAAACTAGATATAATATTAACTCAAAATGTATATTTTTCAAAGGAGATGGTTTAAATTTTCTTTTTTGCTCATTTGTAGAGAAAATCTTAGAGAAAATCTTCACAATAGTTGCCAGCCACATTAATGAAACACATTTTGAATTTTTGCGTCAAAAACTAAACCTGGCAAACTCAGAAACCAACAGGTATGTATGAATGTCGCATAAATTTATTCTCATATTCTGATTCATATTCTATTGTTATTCCAGTTAGTAAAACATTCATATTAATATGGACTCAAATTTCTATAGAATTAATTAACTGTAATTAATTGTATATTTGAGACCCTTTTAAAAGGCCTTATATCATAGTAGTTAGGAACCAAGGGGTCAGAAGACAGACTGCTTAACTTTAAATCCCAGCAAGTTTGGGCAAGACCCTTAACTTTTTTTTTTTTTTTTTTTTTAA